CCCCCCCCCCATGTTCGGTTAACGAATCTACGGGCACCTTCTTCTTGGACAACGGCACTGGGAATCTCAAGGTGAACGCCCGGCTGACTTTCGCAATTTCAGGATTGCGTAAATCCAAAGGGCCTAAGGATTCCTTTCTTACCGGCCGAAGCGTGGGAGGCTTCCTCGTGGCGCGGATCCCGGTTTCCCCGTTTAATGTAAATTCAGTTTTCTCTCTTTATTCGTATTCAGGGCACGTAGCACGTAACACTGGGATACCTTATGGCATTTCGCGTTAGCTCAGGGCCTGATGCCTTAGAGGGTAGTAAGTCGTGCGCATATCTCTACGCGCGAATCCGATGGTCTGGATATCGCCGTGGGCGAAATGGCTTGAAAACGGGGATCTTATAAAATAAAGGGAAACTGCCATAGGGAGAGAGCTTCCCGACGGGACGACGGGTTTGTCCACGTTGGTAGGGAGAGACTGTTGCCAAGGGTGAAAAAAAAAAAAGAAAATAAGGAATACGTTGACGAGTATTTGGGGGGTCAGGGGTTCTCCGAAGAGATAAGGGTTCTAGGATACACATTCACGAAACCTACCCTCGTGAAATACTGATCGGAAAATTCAGTGCACGAGGTAACATGCTTCAAAGTACTTTAGGGTCATATGGGGTTTCTTGTTCGTCTTTCAATTTAACCCCAAACACTAAAAAAAGAACAGTCTCGTTCCACAGAGCGGAATATTGAAAATGACAGAAGCTCCACAAAAAAGTAGGTAAGTCACTTTTTTGTGAGGTCCAACGAGGATGCTGGGCGCTTTGTCTAGGTTGCTTGCGTCATCGGAAATGGGTAATATTGTACCGTAAAAGAAATGCATCCCTCATTCATATCGTACTTTCATCCCACGTCAGGCATCTTAAGCATTGGCATTTTGAGGTACACAGCTTCACGACCTGTCCGATATACGAGTAATCGTAAGATTCTAATAATATGCATACTTCACATTTTAGGACGTCTCTCTGTCCTGAATACGTAAACGAGGAAAATGAGGACGGTCCTAAGGAGGAAAAAAAAGACGCAGGCTACGAGAAACTCCTGGGCCACGCATACCAAGCACGAGAAGTTTGGATTACGTAAAAATAACATTAACGAGAAAATCGAAATTCCTGCAATATTAAAATTCACGGGGAGAGGAATATCCGATCGACGTAAGCGATAGCGTCGTTACGCCGCCCTGTGATTGCTGACGTTAATTTGACAGAGCCGCAGGCTCCTTAACGTCGGCTTCGTCGCGACGCCTCGTTAACCTCGCCCTTAATTACTGGACGAGAGCCATAATCCTCCCGTTGAGATACTTTCATTTTTATTCCCTTACCACGTAGACGACAATCTCCAGACACGTCGGCAACGACCACCATTTTTTTCTACCCCATATAACATCTCAACCTCCCGGGCACGTTACACAAAAGATTTTTTTCTCCGACCCTCCGCGCACATTGCACGTGATTCTTTGACGTCGCACAGAGCCCGACATTGGAATATTGATCGACACACAAGATCAAGTGAAATCGACATATCCACCCCGGCGGTAAGTAGGAAAACGAGCGATGGACTGCAGGGGGCGAGGCGAAGGGAGGTCCGAAGTGGCGGCTAAAAACGTAAAAGTCACCCTCGTTGCGGACCTCGGTAATTTGATGAGGCCGCTAAGCCGGGCGTTTACGTGATTCGATAAGCCGCCGTTTTATTGCGAGGGCTGAACGAGGTTGCCAGATACCTAAGGAGGTGGACGAGGTTACCCGGGGAACCCCAGGGGAGAAGTTGACAAATAAAGAAAAGAAAAAAATCGCGGCCACCTTTCGGTTCGTCGCTGCGTAACGAGGGTGGACCCGATAACTGCGCCAAGAGTCTTTATGCTGGTCGCAATCCGGAGCCTTGTCGATTTTTTTGGATTTACGGTCTTGACTCAGTCGCGGGCAGAGTTGAGCTCGAGCGAAAGTCGACTCTGGGTTGCGAAAAATCAATGGGCTGAAGTCGAGCCGCGAGTGCGAGCGCACGGATGAGGGAGAGGGTGGCAGAGCTGTGGCGGTATGAAGAGGGGGGGGGGG